AAGTTTCACAATTTCCTTATGGATGCTATGCTTGAGTAAAAAAGTTTTTTTAAAGTTTCATAACATTTTAAGTCTATACAAACAGTGTTTAAAGAGCTATTTTACAAAAAGAAAAAGAGAAATGCTGTAGTCAAATAACTTGGAACAAGGGCCTTTACTTCCTTCCATCAAATTCAGAAAACAGATTTGTAACTTGCGATAAACGACAGAACACAGTTAAACTTAATCGTATTTGTTGTTTTTACCTCACATTGATTAGTCAGGGACTACGCAAATTGTTTAGTTAGATAAATATTCGATATCTTTCAGCTTTCTCATCAGCAGAGAAGGCAACTTACATACATTTCCTGAATGAACCAAGTATATTATATCCAAGTTATTCTTTCATAGTTGCTTTTTCAATTAAAGATAATTTTCTTCTTAAGAGGAGACCTATGCTTCTGATTTCTGATTTCGCCCCTCAGAGAGGTGGCTTACACTATTCTATTTCCATATTACCAATGCTGCCTACATCACATTCTCTTCAGAACTCAGGGCTTGCTTTCTCAGGTGACAATTTCAGAATGCAGCGCTATGCTTTTCATTACCTTTCATTTCCATTTCTGCATTAAGAAACAGTACATCCCAATATCCACTTAGTGTAACTGGATTGTTTGTAACTCAAAGGATAAATGGTTGAGTGAATGGATACCCCATTCTCCACGATGTGCTCATTTCACGTTGCATGCCTATATGAAAACATCTCATGTACCCCATAAATATATACACCTATCATTTACTGACAAAAATTTAAACAAACCAAAACAAATACCCACTTAGAGTATAAGGAATTGGTTTACCTCTCTGAAGGAATTTTTTAAAACTATATATTGTTTTTGAGATGGAGGTTTGCTCTTGTTGCCCAGGCTGGAGGGCAGAGGCAAGATCTCAGCTTACTGCAACCATGCCTCCTGGCTTCAAGCAATTCTCCTGCCTCAGCCTCCCGAGTAGTTGGGAGGCTCACGCCACTATGTCTGGCTAATTTTTTGTGTTTTTAGTAGAGACAGGGTTTCATCATATTGGCCAGACTGGTATCGAACTCTTGACCTCAGGTGATCCACCTGCCTCAGCCTCCCAAAGTACTGGGATTACAGGCATAAGCCACTGCACCCAGCCTCTCCGAGGAATTTTGGAGCACAAACTCAAAGCCCGCACTAAGCATTAAAGCATGGGGTATAGAAACTTGTCAGTAGCTTTCTAGGAAAGTTTTAGTTACTTCTCCACTTCCAATTTGCTTTTACCTCCAAGCGAGTCAGATTCCTTCTGCCTTAGTGCTATACTCACTCCAACCTAGCACTCACAGTACTGAGCGAACATTACATGTTTAATTCCTATCCGGCCACCAGATTCCAGGTTACACAAAGGTAGAGGGTCATTTTATTCTTGTTTATTTTGTTATTCACAGTACCTTGAACATTGTGAAGTGCTTGGTAATTTGCTGAATCACAATGAAGCAACTACTCTTCCCAAATTAAAGAAGGACTGTGTACATTCTCCTAGAGTATTAGACCTGGAAGTCTCTAAAAATCATCTTATTGAACTCTCTATTAAAGTCCTTGTCTGCTAATGCCAACACCTCTACCCTGTCTGGTTTGTTTTTGCTGACTCTGCTGAGAGTTTCCCACTCAACTCATCTCCTGTGTATCATATTGTTTAGCTGCTTTGCTCATTTGTAATTCTTGATTGTCTGCTGCACACTGGAGCCTAGTCTGGATTTTGTTTCTTCTTTTAAAGAGTTTTGTTTTGCGTTCTGGAAGTTCCTTAATTTATGGCAGATGAGCTCAATTCTCCCAGGGCTTGTTGTTAAACTTTAAGATGAGCCCAGGATACTTTTGTTCTCAGTTTTGTTCCACTTTACAGTTTTACACATACCATTTGCTAACACTGAATGCCTTCTTCATTTTCTTTTTGCAAAACTCAGGTTAAATTATATCTGTTCAATGGTGGTCTGTTCCCTGATTCTCAATAAAAAATGTAAATAAGGATGCCATGGGGTGTTATAGAACGACCACAGGATTTAGATGCAAAGGATCTGAGTTTCAGTCTGAGCTTTACCAATTTCTCACTCAGAATTTTAATCATCTCAGTTATGAAATGGGCAGTGTGTACCTAACCTATTTCTCTCTTAAGATTTAAATTAGACAATATTAAAATGTAATTTGCATTATAATATTTTATACTAAAATGAAAACTGCTCCGTAAACATTCTTAAGATCTTTTTTCTCTCTTGTATGTATTTTGAATATCCAACAATATTTCAAGCTCCTCGTGGGGAAAGTTCAATCTCTCATTGTTTTTTCCTTCTGGAGGTACTGGAGTGTCTAGTATTTTACAGTAGATAGCCAACAGATTCAATGAACTCACTCTGGGGAAATGTCTGAGTTTTAAGTGAATAAATCTCTTCTTAATATTACAGTATCATTATTCTTTGTTATTCATGACTAGAGCACAAAAGCATAGAAAAATCAAATATTAAGTGTGTTTGATTTTTAATATTTTTAATATTAAGTGTATCAAAAAATTCTGTTTTTTTGATACGATGTTCTGTTATAGAGGCTCTAAAATATGAAATCTGGCAAATAATGGGGTTTACTAACTTAATAACATTTTCACACCAATAGCAGCTTCTGAGTAATCTTATGCTGTGTGTGTGCATGTGTGACTTCTGAGTAATCTTATGCTCTGTGTGTGTGTGTGTGTGTGTGTGTGTGTGTGACAAGGAACAACCAATCCAGGCTAGAATAGAGAATCAATATTGACAAATTGAACTGATTTTGCATTTGACTTCCCACCACTTATTCCATATCTAACCCACTCAGTCCATCCAGCTTACTTCTACGTTTTGTACCCCACCCTCACCAGCACCTGAGTTTGTTTCCTTGTGTAGGTCTCAATTATTTGAAGGCAAATATCATTTCCAAGTTGCAAGTTAAAAATATTCCAGTAACCTCATTGTAACTGGCATAACATATACTCTTCTAGCTGATCTTAATAGTTCTAATGAAATATTAGTGCATTTTATTTATTTACTCACAAATGCCATCATAAATACAATTAATAAGTTTGTCTCTTTCAGATACGTATTTGAGGAGAACAGGGGTTGATTTCTTGAGTCTGCTTGGTTCAGCAAGTTTGGATTGGCTCAGGTACTGGCCGTATCCTCATTTTGTCTTGGTGGGCTAGGAGGGGGTTCTGCTCCCTTGGCTTAACATGGCTCTGTGTCTGTTGGGTGGGGCTCAGGGTTATGCTGTCCTAGTAGCTCAGACCCTAACAGTAGCTGCCCTTAGTTCAGTACCTCTTCCACAGTGCCTTGGTGGCTGTATCTGGAGCAACCAGACACAGGAACAGGTTTAACAGCTCCAAGCCTTTCATCCCTGCTGACCCTGTAGGTCAAGCTCTCCTTACCCCACAGAGCCTATTCTCAGTACCTCTCACCCTCATACAACATTACACAAAGGTATGGGACCCTGGCCACTAGAGACTCCCAGCCCCTCTCCTACCATTATGCTCTTTCATACGAGGTGAGGGCCATTTGGCATAGCCAGCAGGTGGGCTCTGGGGGCAGACCGCCTGCCTGTGAGGTCCCACTCTCAGCCCAACTGGCAGTGTGACCTTGGCCTGAGCCCCAGGTTCTTCATTTGTAACATACTTATAATATTCCTTCCTACTTCAAAGGAAGGAGTTCCTTTGATCTAACATTTGATGAGTCTATGCACATAAAGTACCTAATACAGTTCCTGGCATACTCAGACCGTGGAATAAATTATAACTGTTCTATTTCTCTCTCCATATTACATGTAGTTATATTTCTCCATGGTCTGGCTTAGCGTGTTCCTGTAATCACTGCTGCTTCCACCTCACAGGTTGAAGTGAACAAGTGAAAACCAAGTCCAGCAGACCTTTTGGGAAACAAAAGCGTTATGCTTGAACCGTGGATGCCACATCTCAATGTTTATAGGCATGGACATAAACGTGGAGAAGATAGGGATACAGATTTTCACATCACTTCAGTGAGGCCAGACATGCACCCTGTCTTGCATGCTTTTGGGCCTGCACAGAATAAAAAGTGAATGTCCTTTGCTACTTGAGCTATTTTAATTTGGGCATAGAAGCTTTTCCTTTTTGGATATTTTGTCCAGAAATGGCTATTTGCTCACCGGGTGAAGTACGAAGTCTTGAAAGTTATTTTTCCAGAAGTGAGCTTAGATTTGGATTTATTCACAGTTGTTCCTTCCCTAACTCACTTCATAGCTAAAGACACAATGCTGAGGCAGGCAGATGGTTGACAGAGGAGCAGGTTTGTACCGTAAGCACTGTTTGCCTCTGCATTGAGATTTAACACCAAATTTCATGAAGTGATGTTCCTTTACGAACTATTCATAGTCAAATTATTTCACTACTTTCACTTTGTTTCCTTATCTCAAAATGGAATAAATAATGCTGTATGAGATAGAATAATGCCCAACCCCCAAGATGTCCCCATTCTAATCCCCAGCACCTAAGAATATGTTACCTTATATGGAAAAAGAGACTTTCCTGATGTAGTTAAATTGAAGATCTTGAGATAAGGGGATCATCCTGGTTTTGCTAGTGAGCCTACTGTAATCACAGGGTTTTTATAAAGAAAAGGAAGGACAGAAGAGTGAGAGTGAGAGGAGGACATGTGATGACAGGAGCAGAGGTCTCAGGGATACAAGGAAGAGGCCATGAGCCCAGGAGTGCAGGCAGCCTCTAGAAGCCAGGTAAGGCAAGGAAACAGATTCTCCCCCAGAGCCTCCAGAAACGAACGTAGCCCTGTTGATACAGTGAATTGGGACTCCTGACCTCTATAGATATAACACATTTATGTTGTACACCACTAAGTTTGTGATAATGTTACAGTAGGTAGCTAGTCTTTTATGAGCAGGCAGGAAAGGGCAACACCCCCCCCCACCCCCCACCCCCACACACCAGAAGTGTCCTGCGACCACCAGGTGATGGTCAGGAGGTTGTTAACTGTCTCGCTAAAGTAATAAGTAGTCACAGCTGGTACCAGGGAAAGACCAGCTCCTAATAGATAGAAAACACCTGAAATAGATAGAAAACACCTGAAACAGGTGATTCAGCCGCTGCTGGATAAGATCTCAGGTGCTGGGAGAAGTGACGCAAGACCCCGGAAGTCGGCCGACGTATAAAACCCCAGGTCAAAAGGTCAAACTGTGCATTTGTCTTTCGCGTCTGCTGCTTGGCTCTCTTCCGAGCGTACTTTCATTCCTGCCCTAAAACTTGCCTCAGTCTTTCCTGCCTGATACCCCTCAACCGAATGCCTTCTTCTGAGGAGGCGAGAATTGAGGCTGCTGCCGACCTGACGTGGATTTTCCACCGCTAACACATTTTGGCGTCGTGTGACTCAGGTACGTTTGGCGGCTAACAATAATTTGTTGCAGCAGCAACAGGAAATTAATACCATAATGCCTAACTTGAAGTTTGTAGGGAAGATGTAGTATATGTTAAGCATGTAGTAGATGTTCCAGAATACCATCATCACGTTTCCTGTGCACACCTAAGCCTGATAATAGAACTCCCTGGTCTGAATGTAATAGGTACGTTTCCAAAAATAATAGCATTAACACGTGCATAGTATTTTATAGTTTATAAATAATACTACTTCATGGACATTACTGAAGTAGAATATCATAAGGTTTCTGTGGAAATTATGTAAATTAGAACTGTAAAAATAAAATTATCAAATTCAGAGTAAAAGTCTAATAAAACTCCCTATTCTACACAGGAGGAACCATGGATTTCGGAGATTTTGGCCTCCTGCAGTCATAAAGTAAGTGCTGGAATGTGATCCCAGTGTCTCAATTCAGGATTTTTTTTCCCCCCACTGTATTTTGTTGTAAGCCTCACGTTTCTGTTGTTCCTACTTGTGACTAAAACCTGGCTGATAGCTTCCTTTTCATCCGTACCCCACTTTTTTTTGAGAAGGTAAAATTTCAAAGAAAAAGGAAATAGTTTCAATTTTCCTTTCTCCTCTCAACTCCATGCCTACATCCTAAACAAAAAAACAAGTTTCCTTAGTGTTTTCATTCTTTTCTTTCAGATTTTTTTTGAAACCTTTCTAAACTCGAAAGTGCCATTCCTTCACACTTAAGTATCACATATTTGCGGAACACAAAACAGCTAGGGTTAGAGAATTCTGACTTGTGTTCTGTTACTTCCCTGCCTATACACATTTATGAAACAATTCACTCAACCTCGCTAAGTTTAACCTCCCCCTCTGAAAATCGAATAGCATTGCTATATTACTCTGAAATGTTATTTTCAGAATAACAGCTTCAAATGGTTAGAAAGCTTTTAAAACATTCCTCTTCCATTTAAATGCATGCTTCAAACCAGGCTTCCAAATGTCCAGTGATTCAAAAACACCTTTAGGTAATATCCTCAAAGTAAATTCCAGCCATTGATTGACAGAAATGAACTCCTAGGGTGTTGAAATATACATCTACCCTTTATTGCCACATCCACTCAAGCACTTTACAATGTGAAGTCAAATCTATTAGAATAGCCCTTTGGACATGTTTGTCTTGTTGGATTCAGGATGTATTCATTTCTGGCTGCCAAGGGTGTAGTTTGCTTCTCTTTAGGGTGCTCAGTTTGAACTGACATCTGTTACGGATACTGTCTGACTAACGAAGCCTTTTTATTTTCTTAAAGCATGATGTGACCCAGGGCAGTACAGGGATGAAAAATAAATAATAATAAGACAAAGACCAAGATTTCACACCAAAATAAAATTTTAAAGGAATGCATGATGTATTATTTTCATTAGAATTCAGGAACGTGGAGTGTAGATGCTGTGTTCTGTTAATCCTTAAATCAGGTTTTCTCTAGGTCCGTGCATGTAGCCCTGTTGGGAGCCCCAGCTGTGACTTATCAGCTCTGTCCCCTTTCACAGGGAAGATCAGAGGTTTGAACTCTTTCATGAATTTCCCCTGAGGGATAAAGTGGCTAGTTATGCAGAATAAATTAAACAGCCTGGGAAATAAAAAAAGGCTATCGCCATTGTGATGATTCCATTTAGTGTGGCAAATTTGATTTCAGAAGTAGCACAGAGGTGTGAAGTCAAAGGTTAATCTGCCACAGACCGAGCCCCTGTACCTAGCAAGTGATTAGTTATTGGCTGGGCTTGTCAGAACACTAGGGAAGCACCCGCTGTCTAATGTCTTACCTCATGAACTCTATTCCTAGACTTTTCAGATATTTAGGGTTCAGGTAGACGACATCACCCTAAAGAGGAAAAGCCTAGTGAGTATTTGTAGACAGACAGTTGATTATATTAGTCCTAATTGGCAACTGCAAACACTCTTCTATTCTTTTAAATTATGTAACATGTTCACATTTTATCCTCATAAAAAATACCTTGAGGTGATGAAATAACCCTGTTGTATAGACAAGGAAACTGAGAATTAGAAACTTTGGAGAACTTTCCTGAGATCATTAAGATGATAAGTAGAAAAGGCTTATAACATGTTTAGCCCTGACTCTTTTGCCCTGCTTGCTACCCAATAATCTCATCATTAAACACTGAAAATAAAAGGCGCCCTGAAATATTTCTCTACTATAAAGAATAATACAATGAAATGTCAAGTTTATCCTTTACTCTTGCATTTTCCTTACACATCACAAGTGAAACTAAAAAATAATTGAGGCACGACAGTATCATCCAGCCACTGACACAGGATTTTAGAAAATAGATACTTGAGATAATTTGCAAGGTTTAGATTTAAATCCCTGAAGCGGGGACTTTGCCTTGTTTACATTGTATTCCCAATTTAATAATAAGCCAATAGAACACCCACAGCTTCTTTCTGATCATAGGCGTGACAATAATTCATTTGATCTATACATTCTTGAAAGGCAACATTCAATTTTCCAGGGAAAGGCCAACTTGGGATAAATGACAGTTTGAGGGGAAAAAATCAGAATATGTATTTTCGAATGAGATAATGCTTGTACCTCAAATGCGAGGTCTTCTCTCATAGCAACTTAGGGTCACTGGTGTGCACTAGTGTAGACTCAACTGATCACACAATCAGCCCAAGGAGGCATAAGACAATGATAAAGAAAAATGTAAAGAACCTTATATGGAAATGTCACAGAGGTCCCAACACTGAGACAACATGGAGTCTGGGTAGAAAATATGCTAGCAAACTTAAAACCCAGAGTGCAGCTTAGGCAATGCATTTTGAGTGAGGGTACAGATTCTCAAAAAGTAAAAGGCACTGTGAAGTGAAGCTTCAGTCATACGCGAAATCACCTGTTTGATCTTTTAGTCATCTGTGCATAAAGATAGTATTTACTCTCAGTACCAGCACTTTGGCCCAAAACAGTAAGTTATGGGGGTATGGAAGAGACAGTGAATAAAATATGGCTCTGACCTCACTTCGGTAGTAAGTTCAACAAGCAAAATGATCAGCTATACTGTAACTTTATTGCTATTTTAACAGAGGCAGAAAAGGCCCAACTCTGATTGTTGAGTTAAAAATGATTTATCAACAAGGTAATCCTTGACTTGAAATTTGGGGAAGAATATTATTCTGTAACAGGAAGAAAGAAAAGAAAGGTCTTTCCAGAGAGAAAGTGGAGTCGTTGCAAGTATTAGGAGGATGGCAGGAAATAGCATGTTTGGGTTATATCCCATTTTGGGAGTTCATTGTCCATTTTAAGAATGGAATTAAAAACAGACCCCTACCCAGAAAAATGCACATATCTACTTCTTAATCGATATTTAATATATAATTTAATGGGCATTATAGTATTAAGTGAGATTTGCCAGTTCTGTTGGAACAACATAGTGCGTATTAAATTAGTCTTCTAATAGTAGTCAGACTCTAGTACTGACTGCCATCGGAAATGGACACAATTATTTTGCTTTTTTAAGTCCTCATTTCATCATGTAAGACACGTTTACTGCACAACAGCCTTAGATTGAGAGGACACCTTTTAGTCAGAGATTATTTTTCAAATTCAGGGCAATCATTTTTTTTTCTCTTCATCAGAGAATTTTATGGTTTTCTTTTTATTCTCCCCTGTTCACTTTGGGCTGTTTGCATTTGTAATATGTGCAAGCGCAACATCTGTCTCCAAGTGACTTCCTGTGTTCACTATTCGTTGAAGCAATGAAGCACTCAAAATGCAAGAACATTTCTCAAAACATTGTTGCTAGTTAATAATTCTTCATGCTCGGAATGTTGCATCTCTTGCACCTTGAGTCTATTAATCTTGAGAATAACACGAGTTACATGATTCTCATTATGTGCCCTTAAAGAATACAACAGAAAGTGAGGTGAGGAAAGAAGGGAATTCAGTCAAGAGTGTCTAATTGGACCTTTCGGCAAATGTTTTTTGGGGTGGTACTAAACTCAAGAAATAAATAACTGTTAAAATGATATTTTATTTATTGGATTAAAAACTTCAATTGATATGCCAGTCTCAGGAACAAAGGTAATAGTCTGAAAAATCAATAAAAGATTATTCTAGTAGAAAAATAAAATTGGCCCAAAACCACATAAAAAAGATATTTAACCTCAACAGTAGTTGAAAATAATAAAAAATAGTAAATGGAAATGCTATTTTTCATCTGACGGATTCTAAACAGGAAAAGTGAAGGATGATAACTAGTACTTTTTAGGAAGAGTGAAACAGTATAAATGGGTATAAGGTTTTTGAAGGGCAAATTGGCAAATTATGCCAAAATTATAGGGAAAAAAATATATTATTGGCTTAGTAAGACCTCTTTTTAGAATTTATCATCAGGAAGCATTATATACTTGTAAAAATGTTTGTACAAAAATATTCATTGTCAAAATCTTTAACATATTGAAAATTGGGAACTAAGGTTCTTAGAATATGATTTGCTAAATATGTTACATGGGTTTATACAGTAAAAGATGCTGCAACTATTTCACATGAAATATACATGTGTATTTACTGTCATAGAAAGGAATTTACAGTGTTAATTTTGAAATAGTAAATTGTTAACTGAAAAATATTGTCCTCAAATATGAATATAATCTGTTTAAAAATTAATGTTTTACAGGAAAATGTTTAGGAGTGTGTATAGCAGAATGTCAATAGTTGTTATCTCTGGATGATAGGATTTTAGGTAACTTTGTATTGCTTATCTGTATATTTTCAGCTTTCTAAATGTGTATTTGTGTAATGAGAAACATGGAAAGTATATAACAGGACAACAAAAAAAGATAAATGTAGTTTATTTAATATTTTATTAGATAACCTGAGTATAGATACAATTAAACTGAATATTTTTAAGTTAATTTTTCTTCACTTGTCACTTGATACTTTTTCTTCCCCTTTATCTAAGGGAAATACTATAGTATATTAAGCAAAGTAAAGGAGCAGATGTGGATGAAAAGTCTGTGATAAATTCCATGTGCAGAAGCTGTGGAGCACATCTACAATGGCGTATTGGCCAATTCAACACTCAATTAACAGAAAATTTGCAGTCTGGTCTAAATGTTCAAATAAAATGGTAATATGCCTTACATTGCCTCATAACTAAAAATGAAATTTCTTAGATGAATAGAAGGAATCCTTTAAATTTCAACTTTTCTTCCAACTCTCAGTGGGGCCAGAAAATAATTTTAGTAACAACACACAGCTAAAATTTCATATAGAAATGGAATCATGCCCTAATTCTGTCATGAAAGGATGCAATGCCTCTGCCTCTGTGGCCCTCTGTCTGGTGAGTTGACCAAAATCAGACTTGAATTCGATCACTTACTGTGTTCAATTCACAGGCATGTAATG